TTTCACATTAAACTGTCACATGGCCACTTCTAAAAAACCCAAACAACAGAACAGTGACCCACGCTTAAACCCCACCAGCGCGCTCCATCTTTGCATGGAGATGCACCTGAACCTATACTTCTTAAGGCCGGAGCTCATGAAAGGTGGCAATTTATCAGGAATCCCTGAACCCCCGACTTGCAGTGTTGGGAATATACATTGCCTGCTTTACACAAACGACAGCAAATGCCCTGCGTCCTGGGAGCAAGGGCTGACGGTGCTGTGGTCCAGTGTGTGCAGAGGTACCCCGTGCCGCCGGCGTTGCGCCGGATGGGCTCCCGCTTAGCTGGTGGCACCTCGAAGCTCTGCCTGCTGTCTGTCCTGGGTGAGGGGAGCGGGGAGCCGGGCTGCTCCCTCACCCCAGCTCTGCCTAAAGCCCTGAAATACAATACCCTATAAAGTGTGATAGAATCCCTGTGGGTTGATGGGGTCCCACACTGCCCTGTGCCAGAGGGGTGCTCCAGTGCATCCCTCCCAGGATGCAGCCAGAGGAGCCTGCTGTCCCTGGGGCACAGCCCTGCTCACCCAGTGCCTGTGGGTCGGGATGGATCCCTCGTGGCTGGGGTTGTGCACGGACAGCCTTCCTGGGGACCATAGTGATGCTGGGAGAGGGAGGGCAGCGGGGAGAGACCTCTCTGGGCAGCAGCGGGAGCTGGATCTGGCCCAAGCATGAGGGCGCATCGTCTCCAAGATACAGTGGCTTGGGGTAGCTTTTTCTAAACAAAGAGCATTATAAGGGAGCCACTGCTGGAAATTTCCATTCCTTTGTTGAGTAGATGCTGTGTAAATAAATGCATTCCTGAGATTTTTCATAATCTTGGAAAGGTCCGTAAAAGAAACTGTGCAGTTTGTCAAATTGCTGGAGTTCGTATATATTATTCCTCTGCCGCTGGGAACATGATACACAATGGCACAGAATATAATGCAAGAAACATATGCTACAGATCTAAGAAGCATTCTGTGCATTCATATGTGGCATGTACAGATATTCCTTCTGTTTTGCCCCGTGGGATCTAAAATATACAACCCTTATTACAGCTTGGGCTTGAGAATTACTTACCTTAACTCTAAATAACCCTTACCTGACAGACAACTGTGGCGGCAGCATTTAGCTCCCCGTTCCCTGGTCTAATGTGCGGGTGCTTTGAAAGTGTTTATAAACTGGTAGATGAGACAAATGTGTAAGCAACCTCCTCTTACTTTTCTCAACCTCCTCTGCCTTTTCTCAACCTCCTCTGCTTTCCTTTTGTCTGAATTTTATTTGAAAAACATGATTCGGGAAGATCCTCTTACGATAATGATATTGTGCCTCATGCATTTCCAAGCTGAATGGCTCAAAAATGCATTTCCAGTGTCTTACTCTCTTGTCATGTATGAACAGTAACTACTCATAGAAGGGATTATATCCCTGTATCCAGTGTATTGGTAATGCAAACGCAGGAGTTACTTGCGTAGTAAGAGACTATTGCACATTCACTGACAGAAGTGAGATCTTTTTCTTGAAATAAGCTAGTAGCTTCTCCCACTAAATCTAGCCCTTTGGACTCAGTTAATCTGGATTTATAAGATCATTGCCCTGTTTAATGTGGCACAAATACATTAGAAAGTTTAGAACAAAAGCTGTCCTTTGGACTATGAGACCCATGTTTATTACTCTTCTTTTTCATTTTTGAACATGCTCTGACTCTTATATTGAGACCTGCCCAACAGCTACACCTGCCTTCTTTAGGATTATTTTTTTAACTCTGAACATCATATCCCCTAGTAATGCAATTCTACTGGAAAAATATTGAAATGATATGTAAATAATACTTTTAAAACAGTTTTCATGTTTAGATCTCAAAGTTCTAGACAAAAGAGAGCACTTAATAAACAGTTGTATAAAATACAAAATGTACTTTTTTCAACACTCAACTTCTAAATGCCCCAAATACGTTACCATTGATTTCCTAGATATGCTATTTTTCAGTCAGATTAGAAATGTAAAACACCCAACCCCACAACCAAAACCACCTAGAAGCCAAACCGAAACAAACCCCCAGATAGGACTATCTCCGTAAAGTAAGCCCAAATATTTTTGGCCAGCTGGTTAACTCTCTAATATCCTTCTGTCTGGACACTGCCACAGCATCTTCAATTCCACATCTGAGATCCTAATTTTTCCTGACCTCAGTACTCACATTTAGGAGCTACTGTGTCAAAGCATTTCAGCCTCCAGGATGAAGTAGTCTGGTTCAGGCTTCTCTCAAAGACAGATTATTACAGCAATTGTAGCTCTCGAACTGGAGGAGATTATAAAAGCTCATTACTGTATTTTAATATAAAATATTGTTGACTAAGGGCATCAAACTTTAAACCCAATTAATAACAGACTATGATCCCAGAGACTGCAGACCAGTAATTTATCTACCACACAAACAGCCGCCCAAATCCCTCACATTTATTTTTTCCAGGCTTTCAACTTTGATTAATAACAGGGTAAAACCATGCAAGTCTCAACCATATTAACCACGGCTATATTTTTAGTCTTACTGACACGAACACTTTAATATAATAAAAAGAAAACGAAAACAGAAGAGGTGTTTCATTAGGACACGAGGATTACTAAAACCACGGCGTGGAGTATTTGTCAGGAGGTGGTAGGGGAAGAGTTATTACTTACATTTTAGCATGTCTCTAGGATGCGGAGCAAGAGGCTCCCTCGGTGAGATATGTTTGCTTTGGAAAAAAAATCGAGTGATCAGACCATCCAAGCTCTCCTTACTGACACATTTATAATACCAAATTGCAAACTCGGTGAAGTAGTTTGCAGCACGGGACGGCAAACTATTTTTCCAATTTTGTTCTGTTGCCTGGCAATACGTCAGCGAGGCAAGATCCAGAGGTTCGCACGTTAACCTGCCAGTCCTTTTTTATTGATAGATGGCTACATGTGAAAATATATGAAGCGTGCCACCTGGTTAGTTTAAAAAAAATAGCCCAAACCACAAACCCTCAGCAAATCTGTTCTCGCAGGTGATTATAGAAGCTTCTAACCTATTTTAGAAGCATTAAAAAAAAATCTTCAAACCCAAACAACTCCCTCCCCCCCCCCGAATGGCTGACTTAAGCAAGAAACCAGCATTATGTCAGTAAAATAACAGCTTCAAAACAAATCCAAAGAGCAATGCTTGCCTAACAGAGAATTCTTCAATATTAAATGTTTGGCTTCGTGATTGTGCGACACTGGACTAGAGTTAAATGTAGTGCAGTCTCCTCATCCATTGCTCATATGACAGAGGTATTCCTTAGATGAGTTTCTGACACTAAATTCCGCCGAATGAACAGTATTATACAGGTCATAAACATACACAGTATTTGGCTGTGTCGGCTGACTTTTTTCTACCTGCTACACATTTGCCCCAGCAGTGTGTTTGCAAGGATGCCTTTTGTAAAAGAGCCGAGTTCCGTAAATCGGAATAATGGGCAAAACCAGTCACACAGTTTGTATTCCTGAATTGTTTGCACCAGGACAGCTATATTTCAAAATCCAGGGAACGGAACAAAAAAGTGCAGGCACAAGGCATTCTAATAGTGACCCTGAAATAACTGCTCAGGACAGCACCCAAATATCGTAGTCAGGGACGTACTGCAAACACCCGGGTACCACAGAGGGGATGCGACAGTCCAGCAAAGAGAAGGGCAGAGCAATAGCAAATACCTTCTCAGACTTGTACCCTGAGGTGAAAGCATCATCTCTGCTTTCACTTTTTTAGCATTTCTAATGCACAACATCTGCAGTATCAGAAGTGCGGGGGAACGGGGAAGGCACACACTCCAACCCGTTCCTACCCGCCAGAAAGCGAAGAAGTGTACAGAAAGCCTTTACACAGCACCGGCGAAAGCGAGACCCTATGCACAGTCTCATATATGAACTTCACCACCAAAGAGGTTTGTCTCCCACGTGAACGGCACAGAAGCACCCGCAAACCGCTCCCGCTCGTCTGCGCTCCCCGTTCTGACATCGGGACTTTGCCTTTTAACAAGCCCAGGCTTGGCTGCAACTAAGATAAACATATTTAGCTGCAACTTTTTTTTTCCTTTCAAAAAGAGGCAAACTGGATTATAGCAAATAACCTTTAAGATAATTAACTGACAATGCCGCAACTAGCATAAAATCTTCCTTCAGGCGACCCCTAATTTAAGTATTACTGGCACAAAGTGGAGACAGATTGTGCATCACCACCGCAATATTTACATAGCAGAAACCCACAGAGCAGGAAACGTGAGACTCAATGATGCACTAAATTAGGAACAATCATATTCTAGTGTTAATTTGCTTTCTCCTCTTATCCAAATTTCAGGTCGAGCAATTGGTACAAATGCACATAAACCATTCCCATTTTTAATGATTAAGAACCACGGTCTGCAGGCAGTTGTGCTCAAAAGTGAATTCACTCACTACTAGGGTTGTTTGCAGGATCAAACGCCCAAAAGTGAAACAGGTTTACCAACATAAAGAGATTTCTTTTTTTTTTTTTTTTTTAAAAAAAAACCCCAAGACTTGCTAATCTGTTTATTTCTTTCCATAAACGAAAGCCTGCGCCGGCAGCCCGAGTCCTCTGCCACGCTACCTGCCTTTCGGTGGCGAGTATTTTCCCGTGACAGCAACACCGTGATTCTGTGGCGCGATGGAGAAGGAGTTTTAATTCACCAGCGCTGTAGATCTAGGCAGGTATTCAAAAGGCTCTGTACTCAAAGAATTCAAGTTAAAACGGGCGTGGAGGAAAAGACAGCCGGTCTATTTGCAAGTAGACTGGGAAGTGACACATTTATAACAAATACACACTCTACAGTCTATTTCACCAGTACTACCCTTGGTTACTTCGTAAGCTAAATGCAAAGAGCCATCACCAATCTTTCTAAATCTCAAACATTATTCAAATTTGGTTTCCACTACGGCATATGAACAAAATATTTACCTTGCCTAATCGCTGATGTTCTTCAAAAGCAGAAATCAGTTCTTGTGCCCACTTTATTTTTTCAGGGCTCGGAGAGAACTGTTCCTGGACAACAGCAATTTGGTTGGGGTGAATCACCTGCTTACCTACAAAGAAGATTAATAACACCAGAATCATGCATCGACAAACAGATGTTCAAGCAAAATGTTCCAACCACTTGAGGCTCTCATATGCCTCACAGACTTTCTTGCTCCTTAGCTGATTATTTTATTTGGTTTCTTGCATTTTTTAAACCGGACAACAGGCAGATAGCCTTTTGTCAGATTATTTTTTTTAAAGAATAAAAAGATCTGGAGCTATGCTTGCATTCAGTATTGTTTGAAAGAACGCACAGTTCTTTCTCCTGCCTCCCCATTTCCATCCGTACATCTTCTCTCAGTTGTTTCAGGTGCAGTTGTTTGTCCGGGGAAGTCGGTAACACAGAAGTTTAATGCATTGCTGAATTTCACTATATAAATAACAGCTCCAGCTCCTCTTAAATAAGTTGCTTTAAAACATGTTCGAAAAATGAGATCTGAAGATGGCAAGAGCTTTTCAGGACTGAAAAGTTACCAGTCACCTACGGATCATGCCCTAAACTCTCGGTATTGGCTTAGCATCATAAAATCCTCAGCACTGTTTAAATGGTTGCTGTTGCCATAGTTAGCGGTTGCAGGTAGGCTGCGACATTTACTTAACCACCGGTATATTAAACAGCTACCAGCTTTACAAAACCCTTTTTTAAATTCTTTTCCTGTATAAACATACATTAAGAAAATAAAAATGGATGCTGCTTTTTTTACTAGAGATTTTCAAACGTGAATAGACAGCCACATAATCCGTTTTAATCTGTTATTGTATTTAGCTACCTTAAAACAAAATACATATCTAATTTATTTGACAGTCTAAAAAGTGTAACATCTGACACAATTAGTTCATTTCTAAGGGAATTTCACAGACCGGCGCGATTTCTGCGCTTTGGTTTCGAAGTGTGTTAATAAAGAGAAACTACCGCAATTCCCAGCTTCCAGCGGAATACGTGACCCTCCATGGCAGATATCAAAACCAGTAAGAGGGATGAGCCTGATGCTGCAAACTTGCCATCAAGTGAGCAGTCTCCTGGCCACAGAGGGTCCCCAGCCGTGCCGTCCCGCCGCACGCTACAGCCTCTCGCGGGAGCGGGATTTTTGCACGCAAGGAAAAGTTGGAAGCGTCAGGGACCTAAGGAGGTTTCCTGCGCGCAACGGGGGTCTGCTCCGACGGCCTTGCTGACATGAAGGCAGCCGTACGTTAGAAATCAGCCCATCGCGCCGTGTAAGAAGCCTCACGCCTGATCGCAGGGATACACCTATTTTAAATGAAATCACCACTGCGAGAAGTCCTGGGGTTACGTTCACGAGACCGCACTGGTGACAACGTGGGGTGCAAACAAAATCTGGGGGTGCAGCAGCACAACCTACTTAATTTAATGAGCAAAGAAATGGTGACTTTTTAAAGTGCTGTTCCGTTTCTTTCCTAAGAAGCCATAAGTAGCTCAGTTTTATCTTGTTTTGCTTCCCACCAGACAATCTTCAGTTCATCATCCTAAGGGCATCCAAATGTTCAGTTTGAAATTTCAATATGGCAACTATTTAAAAAATAGCTTAAAAATAACAAAAAGTTTAAAAGTCAGTAAGAACTGTATTTTTGAAAGAAATTATGTGGAGGCAAATTTTCTTAAATAATGCAGTTTTTAGTCTATTTAATCGAATGTCACCATTAATAAGCTTAGGATATTTCTTATTTATAATACAACACATTCTCCCTAGCTGAGCTACTAATTCTAAAAACTGAAGGACATCCAAATAATTCCTGCAAAATCCTATGGAGCTTAACTTTCTGGGAAAAAATGTAGAATATATTATAAATTATACTTAAAGTCAGTCTATAATCATAACAAAAATAAAAACCTGTATATATGATTTTTTAAAGTGTAAAACATTCCTGCAAAGAGATTCGCTTTTGATAAAGACATATGTAGCAGGAAGCTATACTTTTTCTCACAAAAATGTTACTGAAGCATTTACAGAGAATATAATCTAACTTTTGATTTATAGCACTCAGTTGATTTTTGTCACAGATTATGTATCCAAATAACTGTAAAATAGACGTAATGCCATGCAGGAATGAAGCAAATATTTTAAACGGAATTGTTGTTATTGACAAGTTACTGAGAGTGCAAAATTGGAAGACATTAAAATTTATGACCATGAAATCCTTTTTACAGTACCACTTGATATATCGTGCTTTAAATCAACGCCTGTCAAGTCTTTGAGGTAACTGTATGACGGTGTCATTTTAGTCTTCTACAAAAGACTGCAAAAGAGAGGAAACCTATAGTGTTTCGTATTTATATCTGGCTTCTCAGCATGTAGCACAGGAGTTTCTATAATGACTAAGTCAGCTGTTAAAGCTTATGGCAAGGTTTACCTCATTTTTCACACAAACATTCCTAAAACTGATGACCATTTATATAGGCAACACACTGACTTTAAGTCCACACCTTCTGGTATTGATCGTAAAACATCTTGACGGGTGTGTACGCATTTGTGTGTGGGTGTATACAGACACACACACACAACTCCCACATAAAAGATACGCATATAAGTAAATAATAAATAAAAATAGATAAATAGGCTAAATTACCTTTGAAAACATTTCATTTTATGTAAACACACTGACTGAAATAAAAACAGGCTGCTTTTAAGACAACTGGAAAAGAAAACTTGGCCACGATAAGCAATGAGGGTCACAATAGTAAGTAAATAGCTGAGAAATTCTTTGTTATATTATTTCGCTTGTTTAATCTTGAGTGAACATATTTGATTACATTAAGGCCAATTCTACCGGTCTAAATCTGAATATGGGAAAATCCAAGGACCTCTACTTTGCTGAATATTCTAGATTCAGATTATTTAGATTAGTTTTGAGGGTGGTGAATTTGGCTCTACGCATGCAGCTAGGTGTGTGTTCTCCAGCTATGAGAGCAGTTTGGAAGCCTCAGTTCATTTTAGTTCTGTCGATTTCAATTATTTTGATTCTTTGTGAAAAAGTAGCAGTAAAGGATCTTAAATATTTAAAAATAACAAGAATCGTGTTTTGAACTCGTTATTAAGTATTTTAGTATTTTGCCCTCACGTTATCAGAGGACTATCAGTGGCAAATATGATCTGCAGACTTCTGCTTTATACAAGGTCATGGATTAAGCTAAGACCTGTTTTTAATTTTATGTGAGGAATATTAAATTGGAAATGCTAAAATGTTTCATTTCTATAGTTTTGGAATAAAATGTTTTTGCTTTTAGTTTTGCAGTGACATTTTATTTTAATCAAAACAAGCAAACCAGATTATTAAAAAAATAAATAAACTTAAAGCAAAAGAAACAAAAGAAAAAGTGAAACATTTTGGATCAACCTCCATTTTTTTTTCTGTTTTACCAAATACATGAAAAACGCTTTTTTCTTTCAACTTAAACAGTTTTTTAATTCTTTCTTTTCACCCAGCAAATCAGAAAAGTCAGTATTTCCCCATCTCTACTTATGGTCAGACTGCTTTTCAGGCTGCTTGCTGGATTTTGGAAATGTGTCAGTGACAGTTGTGGAAAGGCAGGAGGCAAAAAGCAGGAGCTGCGAGTTCACCTTAATGAAGTCTGTACCTTTTAGAGATCCTTCCTCCTCATATGGAAAGGCAAGACACCTCTATGGCCCAATTAGAAATTCACTTTACGCCCTAAATTGCTGCACGTGACCTTTCTCTTTGTCTCCTCTCTGGACCCTCTCCTGATGTCAGAAAACTTCCACTGTCAAGTCAGCAGAGTCCAAACCACCATCAACGTTGTTTATGCTGAGCATTTCTAAATTTCCTGAACTGGCAGCCCGAGTTAAGTGTTTAAATACACATTAAGCATTCAAGAAGAGCACTCTCAAAGGTGCTAAGCATCTGCAACTCCATCTTCTGTCAACAGGAGGTTCAGACGCTTAAGTTTTTTTCAAAAATCAAGTCTTTCCTTAAGCTAGGAAATACTGGTCGAGATTACGTAGCCATCAGCAGGTGCTACCATTCAGGAGCTCTATTATTTTCCCAACTTCTATTGCAGATGAATGAAGGGTGGAAGTCCACATGGACGTGGATAATGTAGCTGTGAGGAGCTAACCGTTTTGCCTCCTAAAGCAAGATTTGGTTTGGGAAATGCGGAAGCTCAGCAGACAGTTTGTGCTAAAGAGCACTGAAATTTATTCTTTTACTGGCACATCGAGATCCCTTAAAAGAATGCTTGGTTTATTACGTTATTTTGCTTGGTGCTTTAAGATATCATATGCCACTCACTGTGAAAATGTAGTTTGCTAGGTGGCATCACCAGGACACATGCCTTTGGTAACAGAAACCTAAGAGATGCACTGTGACTCTATGTATATCCTGAACGACGCGCAGAGACAAATAATGCAAAATGTTCATCCTGTACGCTAGAATCCCCTAACGCATATGTCAAAATGGATGATTTCTATTGCAAAAACCCCAATCTTTGGTGGCTGCACCATCACACCGGGGTGTCCGAGTGATCTGGTACACCAGTCACGGGGTAACAGGCTGCCTTACAGGACAGTGGGGCAAGGACCCTGCTGCTCTTGCTGTCTGCCGATGCCCGGAGGTGTCACCAGCACTTACTGGGGTGGGGGTGGGGGTGGAGAGGTGGAAAACAAATCAAAGAAAATAGTTGAGAAAATAACTTTACCCTAGCAATTAGCATACAAGATTTGCTTCTCGAGTCCTTCACCTAGGAAGTATTTTTTAACAACCGCTGTTTAAAAAAAGAGGAGAAAGGGATCCAAATATTTTAAAAAGCAATTGTAGAGTGGCTATTGCACAGTACAGTATTGCCTTTCCCATGCTCTGTGATGGGAGGAATCACTGCACAGCCTCTACCCCAACTCCTCTTCAGAAACAGTCACACGCTTCATGGGATATGGTTTTAAAAAAGCAGCCTGTGACTGTTCAGGCAAAATTTCCAGCTGCAATTTTTAAGGTGCTAATGAACGTAGAAGAGCTTGGTATTACCGAGTTTTCAACATACGACCTGAAATGAAAAACAAGTCATTTGCCTAAGCGACAGTAAAAGTAGCAATATATTTAAATTGAAGAAGATATGCATTATTTTGAGACATGGGCAGAAAGTCATACCAGTGAATCCCATTGAGGCACCTTCTCTTGACTGCCTGCGGAGCCCATCTTCATCTCGGAAATCGATGTAAACAAGGTCTATTGCTTGTAGGCCAAATGCCTTCGCTGTGACTATTATTTTTTGCCTGGCATATAGAATATCGTGAGTTTCCTTACTGCTTGTTGCACCTATGAAAATAATGCAAACAAAGAAAAGCTGACAGGAGTGTTCAAAACCTTTCTATTTTAAATATTTCCTATGTAGACAAATGAAAGTTTGAGATTTCATTCAACCAATCTAGAAAACAAAAAAGGGGTGCAAGGCTATATTATCAAAATAATATTCCTCTGAAAAGAAAAAAAAAACCTTTAGAAAAAAAATAGCTTAAAAATTCAGATTTTGATTTAGTTCAAATCAGAAATCGTAAGCCTGAAGTCAGTGGAAGCTTTGGCAAGGACTGCAGACTTGGGTCTAACACAAAGTAATTATTTGATGATATTACTTACTGTATGTACAGTGAGAAGCACAACAGCAAGAGAAGCTTTCCACAAACTGATATGCTGGGTACAATTAAACGGTTAAAAAATTCACACTGAGAATAGAATTGCACATTCCTTGGTTCTGATTCTTGTCACAACTGATGTCCTAAGCTGAATATTTAAGCTTTAGTATTTTTTGAATGAAAAAAGGATGGTAGACGACTTCTGAGAAGAGGCAAAAGTATTCGTGAGACTTCATGTGCTCACAGGCACCAGCTAAGCATCATGCTCACGTGAAGGCTCGTGTGAAAAAATAATAATAATACGTTCCTTTCCTTAGGGTCACTACTTAGACACAGATTCCCAGTTTGTAATGAATATTTTAATAATGCAGTGATAATTTTTACACTAACATACTTATTTTTAAGTGTTGATAGCTCTGTGCTTTTACCTTCAAACTGAATCGGATTAAGAAGAAGCTAAGCAGCCTCTCATAAAAGAAATTGTGAAATACTTGTCATTTTTGAGGGAGGCTAATAGTGTTTTCACATGAATATGTGGCAGTACTAACACGGAACAAATGAAAGTAAATATATGAAAGCGAAATGTAGCAGGACAGTATTTGTGCGTGACGTCAAAAGCCTGACTGATAATTGTCTGTAAAACAGTGATGAAGCAGACACTGGAGTTTTGGGACTTTTTAAATGTAGTCCTTAAAAACATGTGCATGTTTCTTATGGGTATCATGTTTTTAAATAATTTCAGTGACTCAACAGGTTTTGGGGTGGGTTTTTTTTTTTTCATTAATTTTTGGTACTTCAAAGCAAGAAGCGCAAGAAAGTGTCGGTGTCCTGTAACACTCAGGGACCTCGTTTTAATTTGCCAGTAATACCTTCTGCAATGAAAAAAAAATTAAGGCAAAAAGCAAAAATGTAAAATGCTGAATCAAGCGTTATCATTACTCTAATTATTGCTGTGGGAAAAGCAATGGCCATAAATCACATCGGGCTTCTCCAGTGCAAATGCCATACATTAACATTTATAGTAAACACACGGGTAACAACCTATGCTGGCACGGAAGTCCTCTCCTCCAAAGACGACTGCGTCCAAATGAAAGCCAACCTGCGATCCTGTTCTCAGTGCTTCTTCACAGACAGCCTTCAAATGAGAACAGAGTATTAATTTCTACAGAAATGCAGGATGCAGAGAGATCACAGAGGTTGTTACAGCAACTCTGTGTTACCAAAATCCTTCAGCTAAAATTGCTCCTGTTAAGCAAAGCCATTGTAGGTGCTCGACTATGCCCAGTGCTTTAAAATGACTCAGCATATCTTCCCCTACGCATCTCTCTGCCTAGACTGTGTAAATCCAGGACATCGTAGCAGATTCCCTACCTTTTGACTGACATAGGGGCATTGCTGTGATCGGTACTTTAGATATTTAGGTAATGATATGAAACAAGACATTTGTCAAATACTGCTTAACAGCAAACAAAAAGTATTAAATTTGATTAATTTGACATGTAATACATGGGCATGAGAAACAGAAATAAAGATCAGAATCTCCTTTATTAAATAAACAATATGAAAGGTTTAAAAAGGTCGTGGATTCCTTATAGGGTATAAGGACTCCTTCTAGGACTGCCAGTTTAAAGTCTTCTGCTACATATAACTAAAAAGTAGCTAAGGAAGTTAAAAATGCAACAAGTGCTGCAGAAAAGCATTAAAATAAAACCAAGCATAACACTGCTGCTGTAGGTATTCTACGAAGAAGTGCATTTCCAAAATATTACTATTTTATACTGATGTTTGAATAATAATATTTTTTAAGGCTAAGGTATGCGGAGAGAGAAGTAATTACAACAAGCTCTACTAGTAGGTGTTCTTCTATGGCAGCTGGTGGGGCAAGAAATTATTCTTAACCTTTTAAAGCACAAAAGGCAATTCTCCTGCCAGCATCAGGAACTGCAATATTAAAAATTCCACTGTAAAATACTGTAGGTGAATAAAAACCTCAGCCGCTGTAAAATATGATTTAATTCTGTGTATGCACACCGGGCAGGAGGGTGTCTATTTGGTTTACTACGTTCCCAGATATGTTAGGGTGTGTTGTAAGATAAATAGGTGTATCAAACGAGCAGGCTGCCCGTGAGGCCTGCCGGTACGTCTGGGGGTACTTCTGATGTGCGTGTCCTCAGCTGGGCCCCAACTTTTCCCTAAGAGCTTGGGAGGGGAACGCTGAATTCCCGGTGCATGCACAGGATCTCCTGTTTCATTACCATGCTGCCTTGCCTCTCTGAAAAACCTGGACTTGATAGTAAAGGTTGGGGAGCAATTTATATTAAAAATGCACTTAAAAAATACAATTTGATCTAAAATTACCCTAAAAAAGGAGCATGTTCTCCAGATAGCTCCTATTTTCAAATTTAATTACACTCCTAAGCATTAAGCACCTCATCATATACATAGAAAAATGATAACATGGAATTTGGTTTTAATGTTACCCATAGAAACCATTATAAAGATACCAGTTTAGCAATAGTGAAAAGATGATAATTCTTTTTTCTAATTAATCGTTATATAAGAGTCCAGTTTGATAGCTACTGAATAGCCAAGTGCATTGCACCACTCTGAGTATTCCACATCTTTGGAGAAGCACGTTTCTACTCCAAGCGTGTTAAAAATGATAACAGTAATGCAGAAAGATTTTGTAATTTGGCATGGGCTATCTGGAACTGTTCTGTCACTGAAATATTTTGAATTTATGAAGGTCTTTACAGTTACAAACATGGGAGTTAAACGTACAAATGTTCTGGTGGATTGAAAAATATGTTTAGCATTTTTTAACCTCTCTTCCTTGATGAAATTAGGGGGTAGACCGGGGAGTATTTTGCTCATCCTAGTCTGCTGAGGTGGTAAAATATGAACACTTCAAGACCTGCTTACCTTAAAATTGAGCAAGCCCACGGCAGTTTCCACAAAAGGGATAAAATTCATTGGCTCTACAAGTGTCCGGCCTTTTAGGTGATGTAAGAATTTGTCTGAAAACTAAAACTAGACAGTATGAGCTATCAGAGAGAGAGAGAGAAAAAAAAAGGAACAGCCTACATATATCAGACACGTTAAATTTTCACCTGGTTGTAACAACACCTCTCCCCATCCCAAAACCTTCAAGTTAAAAAAAATTCAACCAGCATTTAACAAGGCCTGGGATTTGAAACTGCAGCATTCCCATACATTTCTAACTTTAGAGGCTGGGGGGGCAAAAAAAAAAAAAAAAAAAAGAAAAAATCCAGGCTTAGCACCTCTCACCCTTAGTGAAATGCAAATCCGCGGGCCCTGGAAAACAATGATGTGCTGCTATACCTGAGGTCCGGTTTTGTTTCAGGTCCAGCACTGCCATCACTGGAAGTGCTCCCCAGCCTTCTAAGTGGCATCCGTATTATTCATTACGGCACCGTTACCCTTTTGTTCAATAGCCTTTTCTTCATAATTTTTTAGCTTACCTAGGAAGGCCTTAAAAAGGAAGTTTAATTCTTTGAAGACCAAAGCTTGCCAATTTTTTCCATGAGACCAGTTCACAGCTAGCTCTGAGCTGCCAGTGGGGTAGCCCAAATTCCAAAATCTATCATCTGGAAACATACAAAAGCTCTTGCACAGATTTTTCCCTGGGCAAAAGGGAAAAAAAAAAAAAAAAAGGAAAAAAAAAAGGGGGAAAAAACCCTCAGCCCTATATTGTAAATCTATTATGTCTGTCCAGATCGACTAATTTGCGTGGAGATAAACATATCGCAGGTATGGCCAAAATATGTTAGTAAATAAAGATAAAAATAACATATGCATATATTTTAAATTTAAGGAATATTCAACTATTAATGGATATCAAAGGAAAGGGAATTTTAATCATCTCTCCATTCAGTCTCAGTTGGGTAAATCATATCTAAGAGATTTGCATAAATATAAACCATCAAAGACTTTTCATCTTCAAAGGGGGTTTCAAGACCCTATAAGCTTTGTACTGTAATCATCGCAGGTCACAACCCTGCAGGAATAAGGCTGCTATGGCAACATAAAAAACTAATGCTTAAGGCTTAGCATAATATTCTGACTAATAGAAAGGAAACTCATTTTAAAAGCTGGCAGCCTATTTACCAGAAGCTGGATTAGAGGTGTTATTTCCCCTTTTAGCTTCCCCCAACTGCCCCTCCCCAAAAGAAGGAAAATCTAATCACCCAGATCTTGAAAAAAAGCTTTCCAGCAATTTGCAGTAACTTTACAATTAGGCCAAAATAAATCACAGCTTTCTTCGATGAAGAATTCTGCCCTTCCCTGCTTTGCATCGTCCCTGTGGCCCACTTGGTAACTTTTCTCTGGTGAAGAAATTCCACCCAAAAATGTGCAAGGAGAAAAAAAAATAAATAATCAATGCAATTCACACGTGCGAGTGTACAGTATGGCAGGTAGTAGAGCGACAGAAAACAGTAAACTTCATCCAGGCAAAGGCAGAAAATGAGGTAATATAATGGCATCAGCATATATTCTTGAGACTCCTATCTGACTTTTATTTTTTTTAAGTGGAAAAAAAAAAGTAAAAAGCACTACTGTGGTTAGATTTTAGGTGCAAGCTAAAGCAGCGGACCTCTTATTTTATTTGAAAATATTTTAAAAGTCAGCCCCCTGGGATTTTTGCTATCTTTTGTTTTGAGGGTAAACAAAAAAAAAAAGCATGTTTAATTAAATATTGTCTCACTTCCTCTCCCTTTTAAAAAATTTGTAGTAAGCACCAGTACAAAAGGTAACGAGTGGAGAAGTTTCAACTAATTTTTTTTTTTTCAAAAGGAGACGATTAAACGTTTCCGGCCCGGTAAAGTGTTCATTTCAGGGAGAAAGGGGGAAAAAAAAAAAAAAGAAGGTGGAGGGAAAAAAAACCCAAACCCACAAAGCTTGGGGAGGGGATGAAGTAGCAAGGCCTCAGCAATTCTTTCAATTCCAGTGCACACCCAATAGTGTGTCGGGAAGAATGCACACTGGTCGGGATTTGTGGGAGAATTGTCCCGCCACAAAGGAGGGAGAGTTACGCTTGTTATAGTCCAATAAGCCATGCCAGTCAAACAAGTACCCACACTAGGGACAAAAGGAAAGCAAGAGATTCTCACACAAAAGAAAACAAGTAAGCCCATCTTTTAGTTGTGCATCAGCCTCCAGGTTTTCTGCTGCACATAAATAAAAATGAAGGGGGGGGAGGTGGGTACGTGTGGGGGGAAATAAACAGCTTCAGGGAGGCTGAAAAATCACGGCGGAGTGAATTTTGGGAGGATTGGGAAAAGAAGGCAGCGGTGTTGAGCAGAGCGCGGTCTTTGTGTGCAAAGGTTGGGCAAAGTGAGAGGGAAGCGCAAGGCGGGCCATGAGGCAGAAGTTGTTGGGGCTGGCTTGTTTTCTGTGACAGAAATCAAAGTTAGCGAGAGGGAAGGTGGAAGGGGAATAGGGGACAAAGAGCCTCTGCATCTCACCTCCCTGCAAAACCTACGTGATGGCAGCGAGGGCCCTGCCATTTTGGAAGCATGAATATTCATTACTGACGAGTTACGCCTAACACTTACAGGGCTGTAAACCCTGAGAGGTACACCCCGCTTAATTTAATTAAACGTTGGTGGAAGGGGACAGCGTACCTTCCGCCGTGAGCGACGGAGGATGAAGGGGCAGTGCCACGGCCCGGACGGGCCTCGTCACATACCCAACGCATTGGCTCAGTTCTACGCTCACGCCTGATCTGAACGGTTTGATCAAGGTTAGATGCTGAGATTAAAATAGATCCTAAATACGTCTGCCTGCCTTTCATCACAGCTTGCACGCGTGCTAGCTGCTCGGCTAGCAGTTTGCAAAAATATAGAAGTGAATAATTAGCCATTATTCCTTTACTGGCATGTTACATCAATAATGGTGTATCTAAACAAACGTCCCCCTTTCTTGACAATTAAAACAATTATAGCATAATTAGGCCTATTTCAAAGTTTTCTTAAGTAATTTGACATGCCAACCATTTACATTTCAGGTTTTTATTGGCTGAAAAGTCAGTCGTGAAACACAAACACACCTGTCAGCAATTAAAAAGGAAGAAATAGAGAACTGGTCAGGAAATAATATCTGTGCTAATTAAAAACACTAGTTAAAAGCTTCCTGTTTGTTCCTCCAGTTGCCCCAGGGAGTGACCTTCCCCCCCAACCCATTTTTTCATATGTTGCTAGCACGGTTTTCCCATCTCCTGCTTCCAATGCATGTATCTAAGGCACATGGACAGGGACAGTCATTTGGCTTGTTAGGATACAGAAGAGACAGGTAATTATGCCTCTATTTTTTATAAGATACTCTGACATCAATATTGGTTCTTCGTTGACCGTGGGAGAAACAAACCTCTTTTTCTTTATAACTGCAAGGTGTTCCATACATACGTTTTTTGTATAGCACAACTTAAGCACATTTAAATGGATGCATTTCCCAATTCCCTCAGCCAAGCAACAACATTGGATGGTATTTGCAGCCTCCTCCATAACTCAGGAGTTATTCATCTCTATGTCTGTATGAACTTGGCCCAACAACTTCAGTGAAAATCTACGGTGGTGTTGACGCTTACTTACCCATCTTATTTCTTCAACATTTTCAACCTTTGGCAGCATCATGCTTGAAGGAAGGGTCTTGGACTGCAAAAGCACCTCAAGATCATCTTCTGCAAGACCGCTGGACACGGAGTTTATCCTAACACACTTCTCGGCATGGCCAAAGTCAAACTCTTCAAGGGTTTTCACAACCATCAGTCTTGCTTCTCTCTACAATATATATAAGTTTAGAGGCATAAGTAAAGAAAACCTTATTTTCTATTGACAGAAAAGTGCACTGAGAAGAAAACTTGTTGAAATGATGCAGGGAAAAGCTAGGCAGCCAGTATATTTTTGTCCCCAAAACATCTGTCACTCTCGGTCTTTTATTGAAGCAGTCGTCACCAGCACCTCGCAGTTTTACCTCCCTTATTTCTTTGTAACTGGTAAATAAAATGCTTGGGTTTTATGTCTAAGTATTTCTACACCACCACTTGTAGAAAATGAGACTTTTGCGTCCACTATTACTGAGTATATCTAAGAAACACAAATTTTTAGTGTTTCTTAGTTGTGTTGCACTAACTGTCTGTACTCACAAAAAATGGCATGTTTATAAATTTGCATAAACCAACTAATTTTTGAAATTCATCTCTACATTGCCTGTGCTAAACTGGCATGGATGTCAGTAAGCACAGAGGTACCTATACTTCTTTGGTTTTGCTCTGTCAGTCTTCCTTGTCTCCATGTATCCAAAGTGTATTAAAGCCCATAGTAGAGTTCACAGCTCGCATGTCAAAACAATGCCAAAATAACTTGTAGATTTTTCTTGAACCACGTAAAAAGCTGTTCTCCTGCTGGCACAAAATAAAATCTCCAAACACACATGCTTCCTTTGGCTGCTCACTATTTTTGTGAATATAAATGTACAAATCTGTTCAGTAGTTGATTTGGATGAAGAATACTTGCATGCTTTTCTGAAACGAAACGTGTTTCTTGGCCTGGAGAGAAGAGGGTGGGGGGAAGGAGGGCGCTGGGGTCCCTGCTTCCTGCCTACTGCAGTTTCAACCCCAAATTCCTTCCATTCGCCAACAGCCCCTAACAAATTCGCATTGTCAAAATGCACACTTATCAAAAGTCATTTGTGAAGAGTTTTTATGGGGCTAATAAAACTTTAAAGCTCCTGACTCATGGAGGTTCAGGAATGACTTTAACAATATGCAGTCACTGAATAGAGATGCTTTTCAAGAAAACAGGCAAACTCGAGGGGGGGGAAAATAATTAAAAAAAAAAAATCATCAAAGTTAATATCCAGACTAATACCAATCAGCAAGAGAGCACATGACAGTAGATTTAAACCAGACGGATGCAAATCTCTGCTGGCGAGAGGGGCAGAGGCGGTTTCCCAATGTGGTCTGAGTTAAACAGTGTGAGGGAACAGTAGCTTACAGTTGTCAGGTCCCATCAGAACAGGGTCTCCCAGGCCAGTTTAAGACAGCTCTGCAGTGTACTGCTTTACAGGGCTGGGACCCCTGATAATTAGGGTAAGTTTAGAGAAAAGCAAGTGATGGCTCTAACTGGTTAAAAGGAAAGAATAATGAAGCAGAAAGTTAATGAAATCTGAAGCGAGCAGCCTTCAGCTTGGGGCTACTAGCCGTGCTTCTCTGAAAGTTGGGAGCATATGCCCGTTAATCGGACAGAGGGGAACAAGGCGCACATGTACGCATCCCTGTGCTGCAATCGAGGGGCACGTTCGGAGGTAATCTCTGGAAAATACAACCCAAAACGTTCGAACTGCTGTGAATGGACTCTGACTGGGACCATTAGGAAAGCCACACAAAGATGCATGCAGTTTACTACAAACACATCCAGCTGGAAGACAGCTCCGGCGCACAGCCGTCTGAAATAGTCCTTCCGAATTAGGTAAACCGAACCATATGATGCCATTACCGGGTTATACAAATCCCCTACATCTTCCTTTGCCAACCAGGGGTAACAGGTTTCTAGGGCTGGGCCGAAAGTTTCTGAATATGATGCAGAAGGATAGCTTAAAAACACGCTCCAAACCAATTTATGCTTTTAATTAAAATCAGGTTATCACCGTTTCGGCACACACTGATCCAATTTGCAAAAGAAAGATCTCCTTAAATTATCCAGTAAGGCAGCATCCAATTCCAACTGATGGCACATCTCTAGCAAATTTACAGCCTCATTCGTTACGATTTTTTTTCAGATTATAATAATGAGCAGTAGACCGTCTCATTAGCTATTTTTCTCCTCAGGCTGCAAACTCCCTTCCCAAAAAAGACAGATCGTGTCTTTCTAGGTATATTTCCATACAAAACACTTATTAACAGGCTGTTGCTGTTATCAATTTACATAAACTAAATGTGCAGCCCTCTGGTATGTATCCCAAAAATAACCAACAACTTCACTGAATTTATACCAACCAACAAACATGGGGAGGGGGTTGTTGTTTTTTTCCCATATTTTAATAGAAAATATGTTGCTATGTTAGCTAACACACCCATGCCATCTGTTGGGTTGAGAATTGATGCATTTTCTTAGAACCACTACGTATTCGATCTGTCTGCCTAGATACCCCAGGAATGGAAACATTCCCCTTCCATGATAAAATACTTCTAGTCACTATAGTTCCCACATCAGGATTCAATTTACGTTTTTAATTGTGGGACAAACTGAGAGGACATGGTTGCCCAAGTCAGAGCTCGTGAGGGGGCTGACTCAGTGCCTACCCTTCCTACAACGGAGGAAATCCCATTGATGTTAGTGGGGTATATCGGGTCCCCACCCAGGCTCCCAATAAAACATTTCATGGATAAATAAAAAGTGTACTAAAACCTCTGACTAAATGCACTAAAAACCTAGAGGAAAGAGAGAGCCCTTTTTGCCTCATTACACTGTGAAATGCAGATGCTCTTCCTATAGTGGGATCTACACAAAAGCTAAATTTTTAAGCTAGGTAAACTACTTCAATATTGTAATAGCAGAGAAAAAAGTAGTCCTTGATAGAATTACGTCTTTACAGCAGTAGACAGAACAATATTTTCCAAACTGTATGTAAAGTCCCTGCGAAGAATGGTCAACTAGAATTTTTGGGGAATGGTGAAAGAAATGATTTACCTGTTCTTCAGGTGAAACCTACAACATCAGGTAATACCCTTTCATGAATGAATAGTTGATAAAGAAATAAACCTGATAGTTAAGTAAACGAGTCCATCCTCAGGTAGCTTGTGATGGTGGTAGCCCCATTGGGTCCCACGTGGGTTGGGTTCTTTATCAAACTGATCAAGAGAGAATGACATGGTAAACAGTGATATTACTAAAATACGCTCAATTTGCAACTCGTGCTGGAAAACCCACTGGGAAAAAACCCCAGCGTTAGTCAGGGTGGCTACCTTTGCACCCTTTCTGTTTGACTCGGAGGAGGACACAGGAAGATGTTCATTACCACGCGCAGCTACTCCAACTGGAGAAGATAAAGGTTTCAGTGACGCAGCGTCGCCGGCAAATCCGCAGCCACCCAGACACACAGACGCTGAAATTAAAGACAGGAATATGCGTGTTGCCGGCTCGATTGGCACCCATTAAGCCTAATAACTAACCATCCTCAGGAGTTCCTAGCTCTGAATTATCAAATCTGTAAAGAAAACAACATCCGTCCACTTTTACACTCCAGTGGAAGAGGTGGTCCCTCGCGGCGGGGCTGCGCAGTCTCGCCATCTGGAGAATAAATCGAGTGTGAAGTACAGTATAGTTTGGGACCAAGCTCCGTGGCGGCAGCCCAGCAGTTAGTTCATTAGTCCCAAACTTGCGGGGATTAGTGCGGTATCAGCTCTACTGTCGGATGGGATCAGGCAGGCAGAGCGCGAGACTCGGGGAAGGGGGTGGCGGCGAAGAAGGAGCCCCTCGGGTTTATTTATAAAACTACATAGTGTAAGTGCACCTAAATAGGTGCCTTTGGGAACAGTATTATCATAGTCTCCTACTAGCTGAATGAGCACCTTTCCTTCTTTTCTTTTTTTCTCCTGTCTTCCCCCTCCCTTTTTTTTCTTTAAGTTGTATGTCAAGGCATAGAAATTTCCGCTTCGAAACAGAAGGAATGCCACAGAGCTGAAAGCTCAGCCACCCACTCACCCCGGACACAATGTTAATACAGCAATAACGAAACAAAGATGCTCAGATTAACAGAATTTTGGGGACTGCAACAGCAGACAGAAAAATGGCATTTTCTTCTTTCTCTTCAAACTGGTATGATACCCCACCAACCAGTTTTCCAGCACCACGATCTCCAGAACTACGTGATTTTGGGGACAAAATCTCTGTTTTGCTTTATCTTTCTTGCCTAGTCTTACCCTTTTTTTTTTTTTCTGAAGACCTTCAGGTCTTAATGTTAAGAGAGAGGGTATACTCACAGATATGTTTATGTGAAGATCTCATCCTGTTAACATCTTCTGGTAATAACTCTTCGTATGGAAATGTAAATATAAGATACACTAAAATGGCAGGCCAGAATCTGTCATCCTCATTGCCATAATAAGTTTGCATGTTTCAAATGGCAGAGGAAAAATTAATTACTATAATCACAATTCAAGTTATTTTTTGTGACAGGTCTGACATGGTAAAAACATACAATTATGTGTTAATGTTACTTCCCTGGAGTGGTTTGTTTACAGGACTTGACATTGCTGAATCTTTTGTCACTTATATTAGTGCATGAATGCGTCTCTCGAGTAAGAATTTGCAGAAGCGCACATCTATTATATACCCACAGCGTTTTTTGGTCAAAACTGAGTTTCTGCAGGGGGAAAGCCTGACGTTTTTCACGTGCTTAATTCTCCATCAGTGAAGTGCTGCCATCCAGAATGCTATTTCATTTAGTTTCAAATTCACAGATGAGACTGGCAAGAGAAAAGACAAATGATATGTGTTTTTAAGGAAACAAGAGAAACGTAACGGTGGAGCGGAGTGTTTCTGAGAACAGGAAGCATCCGGTTCACGAGACCTGCCTTCTACCGCACATGCACCAGGTACTTGTGAGAATAAATCCTTGAAATGGCAAATAGTTATTTCTAGTTGGTCTTGTTAGACCAAAAGACAGCTGTAAAACACGCATTCATCACAAAGCCTGCAGGCAGCTGTTATTAAATTATTTCTTACAGCTACCTTTGAGCAGATATTCAGTTGAGGAGTTTTTAAAGACTTACGAAGTT